GTGTGTGTGTGTGTGTGTGTGTGTGTGTGTGTGTGTGTGTGTGTGTGCGCGCTTTGCAGCTGGACGAGTTGGCGGACACGAATGCTGAGTGTGTAGAGATGCTCCATGAGTCCCAGGAGGAGATCAAGGACCTCCGCAGTAAAAACACCCCCTCTGCTGGGATGCGAAGGCACCTCTCCTACGGCCTCTACCCCATGGTGAGAGACGCACAGGGAAGAACCGAGACACAAATTCACAACACGCTAGTTGCTAAATAACGGTTGAAAATGCACCAAAAGAAATGTATGCGTCCATGAATGTAAACAAAACGCGTGTGTGTGTGTGTGTGTGTGTACAGGACTCCCTGGCAGCAGAGATTGAGGGCACCATGAGGAGAGAGCTGAGTGTAGAGGAGGAGGCCGCCTCTCAGGACCAAAGGTCAGAAACCTAAACTTCACTACTGAAGAACCCCATTGTAACGTCCTCGGGCTGAGACTGGTTCTATGTTCTGCTACTTAACAGTTAAATCCCACTGGACCCAAACTGTTTTCATGAGAGACTTCAAGCACTAGGTCCAGGACCTTGTCTCTGACCTTGTACCTCTTCTCCCTGCAGAGTATCCCAGAAGCGAGTCTTCCAAACAGTCCGCTCCATCAACGCCTCGGCGTTGCGTCCAGCTTCGGCCACGCCTCCCATCCCCGGCTCAGGACAGAGCTCTCTAGTGATGACCGCACAGCCCTTTACGTCCACTCAGGGGTACGTCACAAGTATCCCTGCCTTGTGTTTTGAACTTGAGGATGACGTTTGTACCCCTTCAGTTTAATACATGTGTGTTTGCAGGGAGGAGGTGCGACTGGGCCAGCCCGGCTGTCCAGGAGGAAACGACCTGACCAGAGCCCTCCACCGGCTGTCGCTGCGACGGCAGAACTTCCTCTGCGAGCGGCAGTTCTTCCAGGCGGAGCGTGAGAAGAAGCTGCAGGCCCTGGAGGGCGACGGGGAGGGCAGCGGCTGCAGCTCACCGATGGGCAGCGTGACGTCTTCTTTCTCCAACCTGTCGGAGCTCTCCTTCAGCTCCAGCATGTTCAAGACCTTCCTGCCCGACAAGCTTCAGATCGTCAAGCCCATGGAAGGTAAAATGTTCAGATATAAGAAATCCAGCAAACACATCTTACAAACTGGTACCAGTGGCTTTTATGCTTGGAGAGAAAGTTTTCAATGACTATAAAGGATGTGGTGGTGTTTTGAATTGGGACTTGGTTGTCAGGGCCTGAGACTTGACTTGGGGCTTGACGTGGGACTTGGCGGTCTGGACTCTACGTGGGATTTGACGGGTGGTGTTTTGACTTGAGACTTGATGTGGGCCTTGGTGGTCTGGATTTGGGTGTTGACGTGGGACTTAAGTCGTCAGTGATCATAAGGACATTTTTTGTTGATGCATCAAACAGGCTCAGTGACGCTGCATCACTGGCAGCAGCTGGCCACACCACACCTGGCCACCATCCTGGACCCCCACCCTGGGGTGGTGACCAAAGGCTTCTGTCCACTGGCTCAAGACGCCGTCTACCGCCTGTCTGACATGGAGGAGGATGAGGAGGACAAGGAGCACACAGGTGTCCTGGAGAAGGGGGCGGCGGAGCGGGGTAAGGAAGAGGTGGAGGACGAAGAGGAGGAAGGCGGGATCACCTTCAATGTGCGCTTTACGTCGACGCCGGAGGAGAGGAGAGACAGAACGCACTCTGTGTTGCCTCTCTCCCCCACCCTGCCGGCATCACCCGGGACACCTGCCACTTCCTCCTCAGTCAGAGCGGACCTCTGTCTGACCCCCGCACCCCAATATGTCACAGAGAAATCCCCTCAGCCCATTCCAGTTACCTGTACGACCGTGGTCCAATCACAAAGTCAGATTTTCATCTCCACGGCAACGTCTTCTTCCGGTAAACACTACACTACTGTATTTCAATGTTGCCATTATGAGTTTGTTCGTCGTTACCTGATTTGTTGCGTGTTCAGTCCAAAATCCAGGGAAGTGTCAGAGCTCCACCTTCTCCACCTACACCTTCACGACCTGTAGCATCCTGCACCCTAGTGACATCACACGGGTCACCTCGAGGTAAGTCCTCTGCAAAGGATACAGAGAATTGTTATGTTGTTTTCATCGTGCAGTGATGAATGACAGGAGGACTCTCTTCTCACCTCGTACCCGTCTTCATGTTTTTCAGTTCTCAGTCGTCCCTCATGGCCAACACACCGAGCTCCATGAGGACAGGTCCCAGCACCCCTGTGACTCCGTGCAGACTGAGCCTGGGTGACTCATTTCCCCCTCGACGCCCGCCTGTGCCCACCAGCGGCCTGGCCAAGCTGGTCCTGGAGAGGGGCATCTCTGCACAAGTCTCCACTGACTCCCCCCCTCCGTCCCCAAAAACCGCAGCCCGGCAGCCCCTCTTCCGCCTCCTCCCTGGCACACCCCCTAACTCCCCATCCCACTCGCGGGACCCCTCCCCGGTGCCCCCGGAGTCCTGCAAGCAACCGGCCGACAATTTCCTCGCCTCGCGGCCGGCAGAGCTCTTTCTCCAGGACGTTTACGGGTTGAACCTGGGCCGCGCCCGACATCCCAACCTACCAAGCCCTTCACAGGGAACCCCAGCCCGTGTCCCGTCCCCCAAGTCGGGGCGCGCCAAGCCTGACCTCGGCCTGGTGGAGAGGCTGCGGCGACTGGGGTTCTCCAAGGTGCTCCAGAGTGCAGAGTCTGAGGCTCCACGCCAGGATTCTGCTACTTTTGTTTCGGCAGGCGGGGGAAGCTTACTGGACGGGCTGAGGCGCAACCAGAGCCTCCCAGCCATGATTGGTGCCCGAGCGGGGAAGTCAGCCGGTATCCCGACACCTCCTCCTCACCCCACCTCCCTGGCCCTCCCGCCACCATCCTGGGGAAACCCCAAAGGGCGGCGACGGCATCTCGCCTCCGTCCCCCATGCCCCGTCAAGTTCAACCAAACGCTGAGGGGACGAGGTGGCTGGACCGCGAGGGCAGACACTCCAACCTCTCTTTTACACCTCCTCCCCTCATCTCTCCTCCTCTCTGCCTTTTGGAGAAGAGGGCAGAACAATCCCTCCTTTTTAACCTCCCTTCAAAGCACAATTCAATGAAAAACTGACTGTTTTTAGCTACGCCGCTGTGTCTACGTGCGTAGACATTCGCCATGGCCCTAGTAACCCAGGCCTTAGCCCGCCTCCGACTGGGTTGCCCAGCGCCCGATACCTTCTCAGTCATTAACTCGGTTCTGTAGTTTTCCTGCGAGGCTCTGGATGCTCAGGTGCAGGGATAGGAGGGAGGGGACAGTAACGCGTACGTGGACGAGGGTTTGTGGATGTTGATTAGAGGAGATGGAGTTATAGTGAAGGAATACGTCTGTCAGAAGGGAAAGTAAGTGAAAGGTAAAAGAGGACGGCTGAGCATCCAGTCTTGCTATTCCAAGGGCTTGTTCTGGAGTGGGTTAGACAAGCTTTATATCAAATAGTATCGCGCTATAAGCATTATACAGCAAATGCTTTAAGGTCATCTCCAAATGAAAACAGAAGGGATTCAACATGCTTTTATAATTTGAGGGCTTTAAGTGCAAGCTGGTTTAATACTGCCAGACTAACCTTATAGTCAGACCACGCCATTAACATGCCGGTATTAATATTCTAATCATTTCACTGGTCTGGTGAGCGTACATGCCTCCCGCAAGTCTCTGCATGAGAAGTCGGAGGCAACCTCGTCCACGGGGTTCCCAGCATGCACCTGTCGGCGGACGGGCGGGGGCCGGGCCGAAGGGCGAGGAAGCCCGGGTCTGCCTTTTCCTTCGGGTCCTTGTGTTCAGCGTGTTTCTGATGGTCGGAGGCCTTAAGTAGAAGCCAGCACTGTTGTGGTTCATGTTCCTGTGAGGCCATGTTTGTGTGTAGTCGTTGCACTACAGTGGGATTTGGAGGTTGGGTTCGTTTTTGAGGATCACTGCTTGGTTGAAAACATTTCGCTGTTGGCCTTTTTTTATTTTATTTCATTCAGGTTCAGTCTGATAAAGGGAGGAAAAATATTAACACCATTTAGTATGTCACATATGTGGTTCACAGACTGGCCAGCAGGTTGGAGTATTCCTGCAGCAGAGCATAAAGAAAGTTCATCTATATTACTCGTTTCCATTCTATAATTTCATGCTTTTAGACACCAGGAAGCGCAGACCCCCGTGACCCAACCAGACCTTCCACTCAGCTTCCGCACTTTGTTTTCGTGACACCGCTATTTGAAATACACAGATTTTAACATGTTAATGAGAACACTGTAACGACCTCGGCTAACATTTAGACTTATTTTAATGTGTTTTTTGCATTCCGGCAGAAGGGAATCCAAATTAAGCCAACAGTGATGCTATTTTTTTTTTTTTTTCAAGTAATGGAAAACGTGTGTTTTTGTGCTAAATAACTAACATATTTAAGGTTTTTTTTGTGTATGTTTGTCAGAGTTTAGAGCAGAGGAAAGAAGACACATCCAGACTTCTTGTAGTAGTTGTCATATCCCCTGTTTTTCCAGGAGAGCAGGAGGTTCAGGTGTGTGTGTGTGTGTGTGTGTGTGTCTTTCTTTCTTTCTTTTGCTAAATGATATAATGTCACTTCCTCATGCCTACCTTCTAAGATCATGATCCTCTGTAAACTACTCATGGCTATTATTCAACTGCCTCTCTTTTTTAAATAAAGCAATGGAAACAAAGCCGCTGACTCACCCACTGGTTTATTACTCATACTCGGTGGAAGAACCGGTGCGGAAAGTTAATGCAATGTCGGCCTTTTTTTTTTTTTTCCCATACTTATGTCGGTTGTTTATGATGGCGTGATTATCCCGCCTGCACCCCTCTCACATGGGACAGATCTTGATGCTGTCAGAGCTGGAACTGAACTGTCCGAGGGCGAAGTCCAGACCCACCCCGACTCCGCTGCCCACCCCGAAGGCGGCGTAAAGCGGCTGCGTGAAGTTAGCGCGGAAGGTGTGCAGGTGCGTCATGCTGTCCGCCACGCTGTAGAAGGCCAGCGTCCCCGTGGACAGGTCCAGGTAGAGGCCCACGCGGGGGGAGTAGGTGACCGGTATATCCTTCTTCTCGTTGTCGTGCATGGCCGAGCAGCAGGTGTCCGACAGCTCCAGGGTCCAGGACTGGGCGTTGTAACCGAGCCCCGACCGGGCGTCCGAGCCCTTCCTGATCATCGCACCGTAGGCTACGCCCATGGAGGAGCCCCGGCCCCTCCACTCCACCTCCCAGTAACAGCGCTGGGCGTACAGCTGGCTCGCGCACATCACCTGGGTCCAGCCGTCGAAGCGCGCGGGGGTGTTGGGGTAGGGCTGCGCCGCCGCCTGCAGAGTGGCTTTGGTGTTGCCCTCGGCGAGAGTGAGCCGCCGGTGGGCCGTGTCGGTGTCAAGGGTCAAGATCACAGAGTCTAGAAGGTTTAACGGACAATTAGTCACGTTCTGGAAAACTAAGCACCGAAGTTCATTCTTTACCTGGTTTGTCAAGACGATTCAAAGTTTTAAACCCCTTCTGTAATCCGTTTGTATCATAACTTCTGCAAGTGATAAGTTTTATGTTTCTTTGGCGTGAACATGAACAGCAACAGGCACCGCGGCATTTCATTCTCAGCGTCTGAAATGTAGTGAAACGCTGCGACTCACACTGTAGGAACTCCTCTCTGCTCCTCGGCTCTGGGGCCTGGATGCTGTCGAGGTTGATTTCTCTCACTGGAAAAGCAAACAAACGGTCACAGCGCATGTGTTGATTTTCCATACGTGTCAGGTTCGTTTCTGGTTGCGCGCATCATTTGTATTCATGTTTCTCGCCTCAAAATGCAGTTACTCACGTGCGGGGTAAGCGGGAGCGTGAATCACGGAGTCGGGGGTGGGCAGGTCCAAGAAGAGACTGGGGTTAACTGTCCAATGAGGAAATATTGTTAGTATTAACATACAGTCCGTGTTCAAGTGATAGGACATGTATAAAAGCGGTCATCTTACTTTCTGTTGGCGTTTCAGACAGAGCAGCCATCCCCCCTGTTGAGTGTACACGAGTCACACACTTAGACAGTTTGACCCAGAGTCAACACGCTATATAACTTCTGATATGATAGGATGGGAGTTGGAGTCTGATCTTACATGGGTTTCCTCCTGCTGGCAGTGCGTTACTGGCCGGGGTAGCCGGGGTGGTGCCGCGCCGATGGGAGCGGAACAGGCTGCTGATGGACGCCATCCGACTGAAACCGGACCCTGAACCCGGGAGGAGGAGAAAAAGGGAGAGATGAAATAACAAAAGGTGTTAAGACTTTTATTGTTGGTGGCAGCAAATGGCGACAATTCTGTGGGTGTTCGTACCTCCAGTTGATGCTGGAGCAGGAGCAGGAGCAGGAGCAGGAGCGGCGGGGATTGGAGTAGGGATATGTGCAGGGGCCGCAGCAGGGACAGCCTGGCTCTGACTGGACCTGCTCCAAAGAGAATG